ACCCACTTTGAAATGGAATTAGGCCTCTGCTCAACACTGGGACGTGTATAAGCTATAACTCATTACAATAAAATGCCTGAACGTAGTCGTCACACATTTCAATAATTTTAGAGCGAAATACATATCATGTTCGTCCTAAAGAAATCTGTAAAAATAGACTATCATCCAATTTCTTTGGATTCACGCAGTTTGATCTATTTCAAACAAAACAATGCATCGTCAATCTCCGGTTTGTAAACGAATTTCGTCAGGTCCCTGAGCTATTGGTTAGAAAGTTTTGGCAAAATATGCCTTTTACACAAAATTTTAGACATTCTTTTAAATTAAAAAAAGAAAATAACTTTCTAACGATTTTGTTTATTTATACGAATACAAATCGTTCGATATTGACATAAGGATACCTATTAAATGGATCTAAACATACATTTTTACCATATTATTTTTCAATCAATCGATCTCAGATCATTAATCCTTATTTTATATGGAAAAACCTAGATATACCCGCTTTTGGGGATAAGGAGTTCTAATGAACTCAAGCTGACTCCAATCCCATGGCCGTCAACCAACTTAATGCTTAAACAGTAAATCCACAGTAATGCTTAAACACATCCACAGTCTGAAAAGCACCAGTCCATTCTTGATGTAGAGTCTATACTTCTTCAGGTAAGGTAGATGCCTTCCACCACGGCCTTCATCAATACTCCGCGACGGTTTACGAAATCCGTTACAAGGATTCCACTCGGAAGTACCCGCTTTACAATTTTCACCTACAGAAGAAAAAGACAGTGCCGCATTCTGTTACAAATATACATTTTCTTCTGACAAACAATTGAAGGAACATTTAGAACTTTTGGGCTTTCTGACATCAGTCTATTAAAATATTTTACCCCACCAGCCATTAGACTTTTTTTATAGAATAAAGGTGGAAAAACAAGCACACAGTCCACCTGATGGTAAATGGATGCTAAGGCCCATAGACGTCTATATTTATCTTCGATTAAAATAAAAATTCAGATACGTTGTCATCACTGAGGACTAAGATGGAATGCCTCGTTTCCAGTGAAATGGTTTCCGGCTCTCTACACTCACCATACCAGACACAGCAGCATTAAGCTATTTTACGCTGGTATTCTGTGAGAGCGTGCTCCTACCCTGGTCGGGCCAATTTATTCGTGCTACAGCCATAATGACATAGCTGCATCGTGGCTCTACCACGTACAAAGAATATTTCACAGTTGTTATGCTTGGCAAGTACGTTGTAAACCGCAGTATTTTTATTCAGCTGTTATCGAAACATGCTGTTGCACATCTTTTGGTTCAGTTTCCCAATGTCACCTCTAACGAAACCCACGACATAATACGGCATGATGTTCTTACACCGCCACAACACGGTTAACCGCAAGCAGTAAGGCATCGTTTGAACATTAGCTTTGGACGCAGTACCGCTGACACTAACAATACAGGACAGCTGCTCTTTTTACTTATGTAACGGTTTCTATTACTTCATACCAAAAACTTAATATGTTTATTCATTTATCTGAACATGTATGTATAAACACATATATGTATAAATGTGACTGTATAAAAGAGACCACCTTACCTGAAGGACAATACACAAAACCTCCCCAGATTAGTCCTATATATCTAGTGTGTTTATAATGTGTATGTATTGATTTATTTATCAAAATTTTACTCAAGAGTAATATCTTTTTTTCCAAAAGTTTGCATTTTGCACCATACTCATATTTTTTGATGGACTTAAAAATAGACTGACAGAGAAATGCCCTGCGGTATTAAGTCTGCCTTTTTGAATGAGTTTGTATATGCTTACAAAGCCTTAATAAATAATATACAAGATTTTTTGCATTACCATTTATCAAAAACCACGGGAACTACTTACTTGAAATACACATTAATTTCACTACGAAACTTGATCTTAGATAGGATAATAGTTTTAAGCTACAATCACATTCAATTTCAAAATTATACGCTTATTTAGAAGTAATTTATGTGATTGTTCACGCTGCATTTTACAAGGTAGAGCCACGCTGCAGCAGCATAATGGTTTCAGCATGATGGCGTCGGCTCCACCGAGAAAGGACCACGCTAATACTGAATAACACAGTAAAATAAAAACAATACAATACAAATATACAATGCTTCTGTTTTTCGAATGGTGTGTGACGAAACACAGAGACACTGTATACTGGTCAACAAGCTATTCCATTCCTTTAGTCCTCAGGGTTTTGAGTTTTAATCGAAGATAGATGTAGATATCTATGCACCACAATATTCACTATATCAAGCACATTATGTACTTGCTTGTTATATCTACGTTTATAAAGTAGCTAAATGGAAATGAGTTATTCTTAAAACACCATACTATTTCCTTCCTCAAAAACAACAATGGCCACTCTGCCTCCTCGTTTTAATGAGCCTTACTCACCTATACTATAGCGACTCATAAAATGATGTCTACGTCAATAGTCTCCTACAAAAAAAAATTCAAATTACTTTTACAAATTTTCCTTCTATTCAGTAATTATGGTTAACTTCAATTATATAATTGAGAAAATATAATATTCAATTCTATCATCATTATCATAATAACTCCAGGTGGTAGAATTCCTTCTCTCTGAATCGGAGTAGTATTATTGATCGAAGTATATTAGACAGATAAAACATACAACTTGCATTATTTTGTGCATTTAATAATTTAATGTTATTAGTACATTACCAAGAAATGCAGCTGGTGGAATAATACTTTCTTGGTATCTCGCCCATCCCAAGTACCACAGTATAGCCATTACTCATTACATGTGTACAACATCCAACAGTCCGGCTTCCAGCTACACAATTAAACCATTAACCTAAGATTGCGTCTCTCGGTTGGTTTTGATTTGAAGGTTGCTCATATGAAATATAAGTATAATACTCATGCCTAGAAATATGTCACTATTTAATGTGACCTCTTAATAAGACATCGCTAGAAATTAAATAATTCATTATTTCTGCATCTGTTTGAGTAGCAGCAAAAGGTCCAAACACATCTATAATATATCCATCACAACAGACTACTAAAAATGGTTTTGTTAAGTTATGATATTTATGAAGACTGTATGTCTTTTTTTAGTATTTACAATTTGAATTCACATGGATGTATGTACTATCACATTTTACAATAGCCCACCTGCTAGAGGAATCAGGCTGAGGATTTCCATATAACTTCTCAGGTAGAGTAGTATTTTTTTCTGCCACTTCTTGGTGAAATATGTGGGACACTCCAAGATGTAGCTGAATATAGTTATTAGTCAGACAGTTTCTCATAAACTTTATCTTGTTCTGTTGAGTTGATTTAGAATTCCCAAATAGACTAGATATCCTAGTATCACTATCACCAGTCCTATATTTAATTAAAATCATTTCTAATGTGGTTTTTGAATTTTAGGGAACAACAGATTGTATTGGTATGCTATTATGCAATTCTATGAATTCCTGTGTGGTGCAGTCTGTAAATAACTAGGAATTGATTCCATGTTTTCAAAATCAATAACATTGTCCTCACTTTTATTATCTAACAAGCTATCAATTATATTCGTCGGGAAAGTATAAGTTAAACTTGTGTTCTCTAATAATAATTCTCATTCATTGGTATGTAAATGTTCCGCACATACCCTGGCACTTCGAGGCACATAAAGCTTACTATCCAAGAGCAATGCTGATTTAATCAAGGTAGGCACTAAATAACCTGCACTACACTGACAGTCAACAAAAACGCATCTTCTACGTATTAGCCTGGTTCAGGGGGTAAGTGGGGGATTTGGGACCTGAATGTATTGAACAGCTTGGTTTCCTTCTATGTTTTAGAATCTGTTAGAATCAACAATATTTCTTCGGGCTATTTCTCTGTTAGCTCTCACATACACAACCTTGACACAAAATTTTGGCCGCTATAAGCTGAATAAATATAAAACTTTACCACATTGTTCACTGTAGTTTATGGGACAAGCTATTGAAAATACAAAATAAAGATGAATGTACTTTGAAAAGTTATGTTTTAGTTAACAGTACAGCACCATTATAAATATTCGAGTTTAGAGATTGACATTACCACATATGGGTCACAGTGATTGTCTAACTATTGTGTCTTGTTTGCAGTTTTGTGCCATCCCCACCATGTGGAACCCAATGGTTATGGAGATATTCAAGGTTAAGTGTCTGATGAAATGGAGGGCGGGGATATGGGGTAGGGGCGGTAAAATGAACTAGATTAAATGAAGGTAAGGGTGGGGATTATGGGAGGGGAGGGGCTGTTTTTTTTTTGGGGGGGGGGGGGGGTTGCGCCCGAAGAAATTTAGGGCAACCCTCCGGAAAGCGGGGGAGGATTCCTCTCCACTGGCTCTCAGTGCGCTGCGTGTGTGTCCCGTCTGGAGCCACAAATTTCTCAGTTGGGTCGCTATGGTTTACTCTTTTATGAATATATCCATGCTCAGGAAGGCTTAGATATGCTCTCCAACAATCTGTGTGAATGATGGAGCCTTCCTGGACATGTTTTTTTTATGAGTAGCACCAATATGTCTGCAGACCTTTCATTATCTGGACAAACCTCAAGCCGCAGATCGTCATTGCCATCTTCAATCATGCCAATCACCCAATGTCCTTCAATCTGTCTCCCACGGTTATACTTTCTTTTTTCAAATTTCGATTCATCTATTTGAACCACTTTATAAGGGCCACCTATCTTCCCTTGGGCCCTTTGATTTTTCCAGTTCATAAATGGAAATTGTTTCCCGGCAATAACTGAACCAGTCAGCCACAGTTCTGCCAGAAACTACTAGGCCATCATCACAGGCTAGCACTTCCTCGTTTGGTGGTAAGACAGTCCCTCACTAAATTCATACATAATTTGAAATATTAAAGTGAGGGACAAGTGTGCGTTTTCAAACCAGGTCCCAATAGCACGAGAGACTGTTTTGGTGCGGCAGTTGCTTTTCCGGCATCTAAATTTTCCAACTTTCCCTGATTCTTTTGTCAAAATCATTGGCTTCCGGTGGTATGCGCAGATTTTGTCTACTGGGATGAGTCCTCTCTTCTCCGCAAACTGAACACACTGTTCGTGTGTACCCAATTTGGAGAAGATTTTTCTCCGAAGAACTACAAATAGCTGATAGGCTACCACAAGAACCAGCTGCTCCACTGGGACCAGTCATCCCACTAGGACCAGCAAACGGTTCGTCAAGGACCGGGAATCGCACACACGGGAGCACAAGCGGCTCATTTGAGTCCAACACTTGCACTTGCGTAGTAGTAGGCACAAGCGGCTCTATTGAGTCCAACACTCGCGCACTACTTAAAGACGGCGCAGAAGAGGAAGCCGTGACAAGCGGCTCATTAGAGTTCAACACTTGCACTTCACTCAACTCTTCAGACACAGAAATCCGGGCCATGGTAGTCAAACGTTGTAAGCTTACAGGAGTGCGTAAAACGATCTCAACTGCAAGGGCAACGGTCTACAATGATGTCGTTGCGCGGTTCTTTCTGAGCAGTGTAAAAACAAATTTAATGATCCGCAGAAAGTATCGATACCTGATTAGTATCGATATTTTCATTTCAATACCAAGTATTTTTTGTACTCGATACACTTTTTACGAATAAAAAATCTTTAGCTAAATTATCAGCAATTTCATTGCCCTGAATCCCGCAGTGGCTAGGGATCCAAGCCAATACAATGCTCAGCCCTTTTTTATGACAATAGTACAGAGACTTTCTAATATTTAAAATTAGGGGGTATCTAAACTTAGAGTGCAAAGGACTAGATACAATACTTTGAAGGCAACTAAGTTTATTGGTTATGGGGAGGGGGGGTAAGAAGCCGGGAAGTTGTGCTCCGGCGCTTCGTGGCAGCTCCGGCGCTGCGGGATGAGCAGTGACTCCGCCCTAGCGTAGGGAAGCACAGGCACCTGAGCTCGCCTTCGCAGCTTCGGCTTTTTTGGTAGCCTTCGGCGACTAGCCTCAGCCGCTACGGCGATCTCGGTCCCTGCGCTTCGCTACAGCGGGCGGGCACTGCTCTCCCTCCGCGCTTCCGGGCTCTTCTATACACTCTAGGGGTAGGGCAGACAAGACCACGTGGATAGTGGGGTGCTCTGATTTGGTTTTGGGTACTTTTTGGATATTAAATAAGTAAGTAAACACTTTATTGTAGTAAGAATTAAACAATACAGAAAGTTGCAAACAATAAAATACAAGTACAAAAGCTGTACAAATTAAAAAATACAAACAAGTTGCAAACAATGAAATACTAGTACTAAGGTGAAACTAAAATATAGTAAACTTTATTCTATTGTATACACATATTTAATTGCATTTTTCAACTTTTCATATGTATCTAAATGGTTGTATGTTGTTGTATGGAAATGTACTCGATACCAAGTAGTATTGATAATTTTGATGCGATAATTGGTATCGAGTAGGTATCGATACTTTCAAAATTTTCGGAACCCTACACTAATTGACGTTTGACATCAATCATTTGTCAAATTTATTTTGTAATTGCGTGTTATTTGCCAATTTATATGAAAAGTTTAAAAAAATATATCTCATGAAGCATAAGTTTCCGCAACCTAAAACTTTGCAAAACGCTTTCTTTTAGTGAGTACTATCTCCAAAAAAAATATGGGCTTTGAAATCGGTGGTCCATATTGGAAATATTAGCCTCAATTTTAACTTGAAATGCTGGATGCATTCCAAGTAACAATTTGGAAGTCTACTAAATGGACATATTGTCAGTGGGTACCTTAAGTCGTCAAATGAAGATTATAGGGTAAATAAACAATACCCCAATCGGATTCTTCTCGTAAATGTTGTAGGCAAGTGCCTAATCTCTAAATATTTTACTTAGCGATAGTAGCTTACCTCAAAAGTTAACCACTCCGATAAAATAACGGTCATATCAGGAGGTAATGTTGATATTAAATGCTGCTTGATGCGTTCTCAAACAGCGATAACACAGTTAACACACACTTGTAAAAGGTCCATTTTCCATATTGAACTTATATATTACACCGTTTATAATTAGTGGAGCACTGGCGTGGGTTTACGACACTTATTAAATAATTGTAATAAACGAAAGTCGAACAGATATCGGATACCGAGAAACCGTCAAGTTGGACATAATGACATTGACACTTTGAATGTTTAATAAAAGTAAAATAATCCTTCCCTATAACATAACGCTACATGTTTAAGCTGTTGCAGTATTATAAAAATAAATAAAATCCTCTTGATCAGTGTATTTTGATTATTTTAATGTAGTAATTCATTAATCGAAGGCTTATTTTTATACATAACATACCATAAACAAAGTACCTATTTTATGAGTTTAGCTATTGTTTTTTTCCCTACTCTGATCTTATTAAGTATTATATGGCCACATTAAAGATACTGTAGTACTAAAGAGTGATTTCAAAGAGGAGAAATCACTTTAATTATGCTTTATATACTTTTTAAGCTTGATTATTTTTAACAGCTGCTATGAAATGTTATAAGTCATTTAAAATTATTTGTTTGTTTTATTTAAATTAATAGTAATAGTTTTATTTTTGTACAGCTTGGGGCACATTTTGGCCATCTCCTTTCACAATCGTGGACCGCCAAACATCCAAATGGTTTGGATGGTATCGCGATATGCGGAGATGAGATGAGCGAGAGCGGCAAAGACATGGAACACCTTTTCGCAGCTCCAGTGAAGAAAATATAATGTAGGTACCTATTTTCTGAAGTAGGTAAATATCGCGACACGCTTTTATATCATATAAATTGTGTAATGTAACAAATTGATGGGTAAGATTTAATTTAAAGTTTATTTTATTAATTTTAGAGAATTTAAATAAAAGCTTGTTTTAGAAATAAATTATATTAAATTATTTCCGATAATGCACCTACATCGCAGCCAAAGGTTTAATAATATTAAAGTTTGATTTAAGAAAAATGGTTATGAAAATGCTTGAATGCATAAATGCAAGTGGCTCAGGACCGTGCTTTGCTGCGTTCCTTGTGAGAAGCCTCTGTTGAACTGTGGACTTGTGAAGGGATGTAACGTGATGATGATGAGCAATTCGTAGCTCTCCATAGCCATCGTATCTTTATAAGTACGCGTCAGACACTGAATATAAACTCTAACAACACATTTATTTCAGACAGAGATAGATAAACTACTAATTTAACTACATTCATTAGAGAAAAGTACCCAGTGGCCTTGGTCATGCTCGACTTCACAGATCTTTGGAATTTAGTTCGAAATTACTTTAAGCATCCAACTCTAGCCGATTGCTTAAAAGTATGCTCCAATATTATCGTAACTTTTTATGGATCGGTATTTTCATTTAATGTGGACATAACGTAGTATGTACAATATCAATGACTGCTTCGTTGATCTAGTTGTTCCATTGGTGTGACTGCTGATCATGAGGTCATTGGTTCCAATCCTGGATGAGGCCGAAAATCAATTATTGAGTTTTTCCGACAAGAAAATTCTCAGTAGCAGCCCGGAGTCAGGAAGTTGGTGGTGAGACACCCTCATTCCTCGGGATGCACGTAAAGTCGTTGGTCCTGCGCCTGATCTCTCTCCGGCCGTGTCAGTTTACCGTCCTATCGGATTATGGAGAGAGGTACTCATAAAAGAGAGTGCACCTGTGCCAAGTCTCCACCGAGGCAGGCCGCCATGACCGAAATTCGGCCTGGAGGACGTTATTACAATATCAGTGCTGATTTGTATGTGTGTTTCTGATATTAAACACAGACGGCCTGAATCCTAAAAGTCGACGTCAAAAACAAGTGCCTAAAGTGATCCTTCTCTTATAACTAAATGTTATTAGAAAGAAACAGGTATAACTATAATCAATCAATACAAAGGTGTTGAAATACAAAGCACTTAAAATCTCCACATATATTACAATACTTATTACTTAATGTTCAGATATACTTGTACAGAGAAATTACGCTGCTGCTACTCTAAATTTTTGTTTAGTATGACATATTAAATTTCCATGGTATATGTATTGAAATAAAAGACATTAAAACCAAATTTGAACAAAGTAGGCTACTTGCTCGCATTCTGAACAGAACGCGAGTAACCCGGGTTCGATCCCCGCCACCACCAATGAAATTGTTAATTGCAAGTGCTGATTTACCACGTGCTCGGCGGTGAAAAAAAAAACATCGTGAGGAAACCTGCATGTCTGAGGAATAAGAAAAAAAATTATTTCGAAGACATGTGAAGTTCGCCAACACGCATTGGGGCAGCGCGGCGGACACTTCCTTGCCCTAAAACCCTCTCAGAAATGAGGGAACGCCTGTGCCCAGCAGTGGGACGTATATAGGCTGTAACTTTACTTTTTTTAGGCTACTTGCTTGAGTTGTCATTTCACTAAGGACTAAGAAGGAATGTCTCCCAGCCTGTAAATGTACTGGCTTTCTATACCCTTCAGACCGAATCACAGCAATGCACACACTACTGCCTCGTGGCAAAAATAGATGTTTGCTGTGTATGCTATGTAAGGAATATGTCATTTATTATACTGCTAATGATATAAGAGCATAACATATTCTCCAAGTGAATGATTTTGATTTCTAATTTTGATTCTTAATCTAGCATACATGTAGATATCTATGGGCCACAGTATCCACTTACCATAAGGTAGAGTGTGTGTTGGTTTTCCTACACTTAATCTATAAAAATGCACGCAGTGCGCTTCAGTGATTGACGAACGAGCTCACTAAGTGGTTAGCGAAAGCACAATCTATGTCGTCTGATGATGCCCCGTTTAAGGACTGAATACATCGCGTTATCGATTATGGTGTTTTGGATGGTTGTGTTTAGAGATGTGATTGTGAATGAAAGAAAGAGAAACTATAATACACACTACCAACTATTATGTCTCTACTACATTATAATTTTATATAATAAATGTTTTCAACTTGTCTTACGAGGGAGATAAATGATTTTGTTGGGATTTCGGTATATGTATTTGTTTCCGACTCAAAACTTGAACATAAATTACTATTACAATTATGTCAAACTAAGGACATGATCTCAGAAACAACCGTCTTGTTGTCTCTGAAATCTCGTAAAGCTTTCTTTTTCGAACTTGTTTTTAAGGAGTTCTCTAGCAGTCAATCTATAATTAAGCAGAGAACATTAACTTGAAGGTTTAATATGATTAGTAAGAGAAATAATTAAGGATCAAAACAATATCGCTACTATCTTCGCTGGTCTGGGTATTTTATATCTGGTGTAAACGTCACAGAATTCTTTACATTTCCCATAGTAATGGATAGGGAGATATGCAGCAGCATATACCTGTTAATTCAAAATAACAAAATGTGGCGGCTAACCCACTTGCAATCTCATGCAAATATACCGTCTATGACGCAATCTTTAGGGAAGCCT